GAACATGATCGTTTTCTTTTTAAGAAGTGAAGGATGCAAAGAGGCAAACAATGTAAAGTGGCATGTCTGATGACAGATACTGCATACGGTCCTATTAAAAAAGTGTAAAGGGAGAGGTGTTTTCTCCTGCAGGTACAAACACGGTATACGCATAATAACATCGTCACACTCGCAGCAGTCATCCAGAAAACGTCACCATTAATTCTGGTGGCTGCTAAAAGACTTTAATAGAAAAAAACAAGGTATATAAAGCATACGATTCAATGTCACTCAGGCCAAACATATAGCTAGATCCAGTGCCTAAAATATTAGACTGTGATGAGATGACTATAAGGCAGCATGGTGGCTCAGTGGTTAGCACAGCAAAAAGGTTGCTGGTTCGAGTCTCGGCTGGGTCAGTTGTCATTTCTGTGTGGAGTTTGCATGTTCTCCCCGTGTTGGTTTCCTCTGGGTGCTCCGGTTTCCCCCACAGTCCTCGGCTTAGAATTTGGCCTCAACAACATGAAAGCATGGATCATCCTGCCTTGTATCAGCGGTTCAGGCTGGTGGTGGTGGTGTAATGGTGTGGGGGAGATTTTCTTTGGGTCCATCAGTACCAATTGAGCATCAACACCACAGCCTACCTGAGTATTGCTGCTGACCATGTCCATCCCTTTATGAGCACAGTGTCTCCATCTTCTGATGGCTACTTCCAGCAGGATAACACACCATGTCATAAAGCAAAGGCAAATGGGTACTAGTAAGGTGTACCTATTAAAGTGGCCAGTAAGTGTAGTTTATGCACATTTTTTTCTTATCAAAGTTAATCCAACACTAATGTGCATATAATGTTGTATGCATATATTTTTTTAATTGTATGCGCATATTTGTGTGCAATATATTCAAAAAATATGTCAATAAATAGGTGGAGGGAAGCAGCTATTACAATCTAGCAACATCCTGGCACTCACAATACCCAATAAACTATTTAGCAACATCCTGGAAAACACTCAGAACACCCCGGCAACTGCTTACAGACGAACACAATTGACATTTTCTGCATAATTAATGTCTTATTATCCCTCACAGGAGTCAAAATCTCTAATAATGGAAAGTATCCTCTAATGCTGACATGAAAAGCTCTCGAAGTCTGTCATGCAAAACGGTTTAGACAGCAAGAGTGCACAGCTGAAGAAGCTAATGTCTGTGTTAATGGGGACAGATCCGACTGAAGCGATCCATCTGTGTGTGTGTGTGTGTGTGTGTGTGTGTGTGTGTGTGTGTGTGTGTGTGTGTGTGTGTGTGTGTGTGTGGTTCGGCCCCCTTCTGTTCCGTTCACACTGTGCTGCAAGTGGGCCAGAGATGAAAATAACTCAGGAGCGGCATGACGCCGGTTTAAAATAATATTCTCAGCGGCCTGTTTAAATCAAAGCCGTCACGATCTGCGGTGTTACAGACTCGCCGTTTGCTGAGCGGTGCATTTGCTTTGTTTGTACTCACTGTAAAGATCTTATTGTGGTTCTCCAACGTTGTGCGTCTCTGGCAAGCATACGGAGACACAGCAGACTCTGGCGTGGCTGACAGATGCACACACGACCTCTGATCCGCAGCGGGATTCTGCTCAGAAACACAGAGAGACATTCAGAATATCAACCAGAAGATGCTCAGCGGAGATTAGATCAATGTAAACCTCTTACACTCCGAGAAAACTAGTTAAAAATGTTCAGGTATAACATGTAGAATCACTCTCTTTTTATTTACTGTATATAAAATAATCCTTATTCATTTGTAAAACAAACTTAGCAGTATTAATACATCAACTAACGTTTATATGACAGAGTTGAAGTCAGAGTTATTAGCCCCCCTTTGATTTTTTTTCTCTTTTTTTTATATTTCCCAAATGATGTTTAACAGAGCAAGGAAATTTGCACAGTATGTCTGATAATGTTATTTCGTCTGGAGAAAGTCTTATTTGTTTTATTTCGGCTAGAATGAAAGCAGTTTAAAAAATTTTAAGGTCAAAATTTTTAGCTCCTTGAAGCAATATATTTTTCTGATAGTCTACAGAACAAACCATCATTATACAATAACTTGCCTTATTACCTTAATGCTGAGTTCAGACTGCATGATTTTCAAAGTCATCATGTCTCAGATGTTTTCACACTGCTTGACTATCTGGGCTAGCGTTTCGTCACTGCTTTGTTTATACTGCAAGATGGATTGGCGACAGGGACTTTCAGATTGCATGACTTTACTATAGGAAGAATCGCCGACAACTTCGTCCAAACTACGTCTCACAGCCAAAAACACGTCATATATCTTTTGTTATTAACTACATAATGAGAAAGAAGCCTTTAATGGGGTAGAACATGTACATGTTTGCTCACCTGGGTTTAAAGGGAATTAGCCATTTCTCCTCAACGTTGATAATAAACTCATTTCTTTCTGTATGAAACGTCAAACAGACACGGTTGCTCCTGAGTCCTGTCAAACCTCCACTAGTTTTTCCTCCATTTCGTGGGTCCAAATAAACCGAAAAAGAGCGCTTTTAACTTCTCCCCCAGCCTCCCGCTGGCCTGCAGCAGGTATACAAACACGCACACACAAGTGAATGCTGTTCTCTCATTGGCTGTAGGGGATCGCTGATGTTATTTTCAGTCAAAACTCAATTCACACGGCATGATTTGAATCACTTCAGCTCCAGATATTCAGCACGCCAAATATCTCGCAGGCATCGGCGACTCATCGGCGATTCTCTCAGATCGCGTCTTTGATCGTTCATACTGTGTGATTGTCACTTACGTGCACGAGCAGCGATTTGCCTGTGATTTCAGACATTTGTCGGCGATTTCTCAAAACCTGTCGGCGAGCCAAAATCAGGGCTAAAATCACGCAGTCTAAACTAGGCATAACCTGCCTAGTTACCCTAATTAACCCAGTTAAGCCTTTAAATGTCACAAATAAAGGTGGCAAAGAGAAAATAAATCAGTTATTAGAGATGAGTTATTAAAACTATTGTTTAGAAATGTGTTGAAAAAAAAATCTCTCTGTTAAACAGAAATTGGGGGTAAAAATAAACAGGGGGGCGAATAATTCTGACTTCAACTGTAGGTCTATCAGCAGCTGCAGCATCGCTTGTATATTGTTTACCATTTTTTCTTTGCCTCCGTTTTTTATTTGGTTTATTCGATGCCTTCATTATATCTGGCAAAGAGAAATTTACCTTCATTTTAAAGTTTAGTAGGAGTTTAAAAAAAAAGCCAACAGTAAATGATGTATATAAATAATATATAACATTTACAGCTCTATTTGTTATTTAAGATTCGGTTTATGGAACATTAACATTTTATAACAGCAAATTCAGTAGATTAACCCAATAACATGCTGAAACTCAAAATGCAGAGACGTCCTGTAAATCAAGTTCAAATAACCTTACAGGAGATCAGTGTGGAGATCAGCTAACATTAGTTTTGTCTTCCTAATTATTATTTTAGACCCATAAAGTGATTTACTGCTAGATAGAGATAGGCTGTATTTTCCCCGTCATGACGTGTATCAGCAAACTAATAATAAAGCCTGATAAAGGCATAACCTTACAGAATAAACAGTGATCCACCAGATCATGTATGTCAAAAAGTTTAGCTCACTGCTGAATCCATTTTATCATGGTAAAATAACACAGAAATCAAACATTGGCACTTGACACTCAAACATCTCCTGAAGCTCCGATGTCTGCTTTGAGAAGCTGTCAATCACAACTGTCAATCACGATGACACGCCCAGCATTAAATAACTGCTAAAAACACACTGTTTACAAAAATGAAGATCTGCACCAGCTGATAACCAGTGCCTTAACTGACCAGAACCATCTTTCAGGACATTTTATTGAAAGTGTGATTAATGGTTTTATTTGGGCTCAAGTCTCATTCATTAAAGGGCCATGACACCCCCCACTTTCGGTTAAAGTCTACTTCAGAGTTTTTTCAAAAGATGCATGATTAATGGGCGTGGAGCTCCGCGAGCATCGGGCAGGAGTGGGCGTGGCCAGCAGGGGAGAAAGGGGAGAAAACAACTGTTGTTGACAGTTAGCTCACAAAATGAGACACAAACCGTGAGGAGACGCATGAGTTTATAGTTTACAAAGTTAAAATGCAAAGAAATGAACAGTAATTTAATGCCCTGCTACATTTGTTATTCATAATTTCATATACACATAACCATAATTTATATCATTATAAAGATAAGTGTGTTCATGTAAACACTATAAATGAGGATTCTCCCTCAATCCCCGGGTCTAAATTATAGATCTGAATGCAGACTCAGTGCAGCAGGTCTCTTGCCCTGTCTATTTTAACCATTACCCCTGCTGGTAATATAGAGGATTTAGGAAAACACAACAGCACGGCGATGTCTGAATATGAACGAACTCCTGATAAAAGTCAGCGTCCGCCATTCTCCAATTCTCGTACTGCTCTCCCGACAAAAATGCTTGCAGCACACATACAGCTTTGCTGTATGATCGGTCCTGACAAGATCGCGGGGAAAAAAACATGCAACAAACCCCGTGGATCATGGTAACCAATACATTCGAGCCTTCATGAACGGCTACTGTGTGCCGTGGGTCTGTCACTCCGTGTCTCACAGCTTGCTTGAAACTGGCAGGTCTGTCTTCCTTGCCTTCGGAATGCACATGCTCTCATGAATAATTAAGCAGCCGGCTCTTCTTATAGGATAAGAAAACTCTGCTATGAATATTAATGAGAAACCGACGCGTCATCATTGCACTTGCAGTACTACGCTTCGTCGCCGATTTTGATCCGCCCCAAAAATAATTTTAAACCCGGAAGCTGAAATTAGCTGACAAAAGCTCAAAATTATCCAGTTTTCCCCTCAATTAAAGCTGACAGGTGCTAACATTGTCTTTACTGATGCTCAACACACACACATCTGTTAATATATTAAAAAAAAAGTTCTCCAGGGTGTCCTGAACCTTTAACACGGAGGCGGTGGACTTTATGACTTGTACTGCAGCCAACCCCTAGGGGGCGATCTAACAACCGGAAGCATCACGCAAAAGCAGGTGTGCGACACACTTGTGCGGAACCCAGAAAACCCTAGCAACTGCATGTCAACACCCTGGCAACCATGCATGGAACAGCAATTATCTCTTTATGATCATGCAGAACAACTTACAAACTACCCAGAAAACCCTAGCAACAGCATGCTAACACCCTGGCAACCACTCATAACACCTTAAATCATCTCTAAAAACCATCCCGGGCATTCTATCAACTGCCCTTCACTGCAGATTACCTAAAAAAAGATGTGAGAGTGTCGTTTATCTCATCGCACGAGAGTCACAGGATTGGTAAGATAACAGCGACACATCAGAATCAATTACAGCTTCACGATTTACAATTACGGCCACAAAGGACGCAGCAGGTCCAGTTTATGTCTTCTAAATTGCCGTTTCATTTAGACGCTGAAATATTCAGCACCCCCTCCCCGGTGCACAGGGCTTTCAAAAGGATTACAGCTGTAATGTCAGCGCTCCTGGGAATAATTGCTATCCGCGACGGAAAGTCTGTACTCATGAAAATTACCTGCGCAATCATCTCGGCACATTGTGATAATGGCCGATTCAGAGATGCAGGGAAAGTGAATGCTAACACGCTGTTCTGACCGCCAGCTATTTTCGAGGCGTCACGTATCCGAATAAAAAAAAAGAGGCCTGATATCTTCTCTACCCCCTCCAGGAAAAGCATCAAGCGCTCAGAAGTGAGAAAAATCACTGCCATTTATTCGCAGTCGGGGCGTCACCTTCTTCACAGGCATAAAGAGGCTGGATATAATGCCTGTATTATGTCTATCTCAGGGCAAATCAGAAACTAATCTAGGCTCTTTTTTCCCTATTAAGTTGTGATAGTTAAAGGCACTTTCAAATTTAATTTGCCATCCTGACACCAGCGGGTCTCTGACTCCAGACGCCTTTTCACTGCCACTCAGGCAAAAACAACAATGATTTCCAACACATGAAGAAACTATTAGTATTATTAGGAATATTAGGTGTTATTACATTTATTTATTTATATATAT